AGTTTGACATTTCTTTAACTACCATGGCTTAATGCTTATTATACCATGCTGGAACTGGACAAAATGGCCAAAAGGATGATTATAAGTCTGTGATTCTAGGGCTTTTGTGCAAGTGAGTGCACTAGAGCTTTCAACCACAGAATTCTAAGAACATTGCAAAACTACAAATCCCAGAACAACACAGGATGAATCTGTGACAGTTAAAGTGGTGTCAAACTGCTATAACTGTATAATGTACATGAAGTTCCAGAACACTAGCATGCTCTAGTGGAGAATTCTAAGTATCACATCAGACTATAAACCCCAAGGTCCTTCAGAATGAAGCCATGGGAAATTGAAGTGGAATCATATTGCTATAGCTGAATAATGTAGATGAAGGCTATGATTCCTGACAGATAGAGCTCACACACTTACCCTTGTGCCTCCAACTTTTTTTCCTTCTAAAAACTATAGAAAAGTTGGCAGGAGACTCAAAAGAGGATGCATAATTTGGCACACACAACTGAAGTGGCGTTCCCTAAGATGACTTGAAAATTACCAATAAAATGGATATTCCCATATGATGTTAAGAAGACGGTGATAATTCTGCCATATTTTTAAGAGCTGATTTATTTCTGTGCAGTCCCTAGAGTGTCAGGGGACAAGGAGGACAGAAGATGGTGTTAGAAGTGGAGACAAAGTGGTTTCAGAGCCATCTGGCATGAGGTAATGCACTACATTCCTAGGGACAGAATGCTCACTTCCAAAAAGAAAAGAAAAGAAAACAATAGAAACGATGACCATGAAATTAAGAAAGGTCAAAACAGAAGGATTATCTAACTGAGTATAGTTAAATTATATTACATCAGCCCTCTGTATCCATGGATTCTTTACCCAGCCATGACTTGAAAATATTCATAAAAATATAAACTCCAAAAAGCAAACTTTGATTTTGCCATTTTAATAAGGGACACCATTTTACTATGCCACTGTATATAATGGGACATGAGCATCTGTGGATTTGGTATCCTCAGGGGTTTTGGAACCAAACCCCAGCAGACACCAAGAGCCCACTGTACTATTTCACCAATATTTTTCTCTCTACCATTACAGCCTTTGCTGAGAATCTAAACTGAGCACCAGAATTTACAAGGCAAAGTGTTCTTGTATTGCTTCCTCTGCATGTCATGGTTGTAGTTTGGTGGCACAAGAAGACTCCAAAATGTATAGATTTCTTGGGGGGGGGGGGGGAGAATCAATAAAATTCACTGTTGGATTTAAGGGGTTGGATTGTACATTAAGCAGAAGTTCTTTCCTTTCTTAAAAAAAAAATATGTAAACATTGCTATGAATAACCGAACAAATCCACTCCCCTACACACACACAACCCACATTAAATGGGCTGACTGCATCATCCTGAAGAATTCCACTCATCCTCACCAAAGATTACCATAGCTCTGAGTTTCTCCCTGGGGTTTAAGGTGGATTTTGGATGGCATTTATGATTGTGGCAATAGTACATAGCGCAACTGAATATAAAGCAATTATGGATCCATAACTTCAAGTTACGAATTTGTCATTGGAATGCAGGATGCATCATTTTGCTGCCATAAGCAGTACAGCCAGGAATTGCAAAACTTCTCCCTCTGTGGTCAAAGCACAGAGGGAACACATCACATCGGCATCATTTGGGGATTTTTTTGGGGGGGATGATGTTGGCTGCCACAGAATGGTAGCCGTTAATAACTCCCCTTCATGCATGGCTATCTCCACAATTCTGATTTGATTTGAGGTGAGCCAGTGTGATGTAGTGGTTTCAGTGTTTGACTATGACTCTGGACACCAGGGTTCAATTCCCAGCTTGGCCATGAAACCGCTGGGTGACCTTGGGCAAGTTATACTCTCTCAGACTCATGGGAAGGCAATGGCAAACCTCTTCTGGACAAAACCTGCCAAGAAAACCCCATGATAGGCTTGTCTTAGGGTCTCCA